GGGTACCAAGGCTCGGACCCTTTATGGCTCTTCTTCAAGTGGAAGCAAGAATGATTTTTTCACTCCTTCTTCTGACCCAAAAGAGGCTGAATGCTTCTATTGCCATGAAAAATCACATTGGAAGCGGAACTGCCCAAAATACCAGCAAGATGTGAAGGATGGGAAAGTTAAACCCAACCATGCAGGTATTTACACTATCATTTCTAATAACTCACCCCATTCTAAATCTTGGGTCCTTGATACCGGTTGTGGTATTATTCATATTTGTTGTGACTTGCAGGGACTAAGAAGAAGTGAGAATGTGGAGCAAGGAAGAATAAACTTGATCACGGGGAATAGGAAAGTTACACCTGTCACCAAGATTGCAGTTTATACTTTGTCGCTAAGTAGTGGGTTAAATTTAGATTTGAATAAATGTTGTTATTCGCCAGAAATGGCAAGAAATATTATTTCCTTTCATGCATTGTACAAACAAGGGTTTACCTTTTCATTTAATAATGAAGTTGGTTCTATTGATGCTTTCTTTAATAATGTTTTTTATTTTAAAGCATTACCTTGTGATGGTGTGTATGAAGCTGTATCTATTGTAGATAACTTAGGAAATAATGTCTTGTGTATTGATTCTCTTAATAATAATAACTTGGATAAAAGCATCATTATGGCATTGTCGTCTTGGACATATAAGCAAGAAACGCATAGGCCAACTACAAAAGGATGGAGTCTTGGAGTCGGTTGACCTAAAGTCAGATGATAGTTGCGAATCATGCTTACTTGGAAAAATAACAAAGTCACCCTTCACAGGCTCGTGTGAGAGGGGTAAAGGTTTGTTGGACCTTGTACACAAGGATGTGTGTTGACCATTCAAACATGCCACAATGGATGCTAATCGTTATTATTTGACTTTTACTGATGATTACAGTAGATATGAATATGTCTACTTAATCAAGCATAAGTCAGAGACCGTCGAAAGGTTTAAGGAATTTAAACAAGAAGTTGAGAATCAATTGGGCAGGAACATTAAGATGCTTCGATCCGATCGAGGTGGTGAGTATCTTAGTTCAGAGTTCCTCGACTATCTTACGGAATGTGGGATTGTCTCACAATTGACACCTCCCAGGACACCACAGTTGAATGGTGTGGCTAAGAGGCGTAATCAAACCTTGTTAGACATGGTTCGTTCCATGATGAGTCCAGCTTCGTTACCAATCTCATTCTGGGGGTATGCCTTAGAGACTGCCACCCATATCCTTAATCTAGTCCCTACAAAGAAAGTTTCCAAAACTCCTCACGAGATGTGGACTGGTAAAGTAACCAAACTAGACCACATCAAGATTTGGGGTTGCGAGGATTTCGTGAGACGCGAGACTCATGATAAGCTCGAACCTCAAAGTGAGAGGTGTATTTTCATTGGCTACCCACAACAATCCTTTAGTTACCTCTACTACAGACCTAGTGATAATGTGGTCTTTGTAGCAAGAAGAGGAGTCTTTCGAGAAAGATAGTTTATAAGCCAAGGAGACAGTGGGAGGCAAATTGATCTTGAAGAAATTCAAGAGTCAAGTGGTGATGGAACTTCAAACACTAGCCCTCAACTTGAGGAGGAAACTCTTGTTGAGCCAATTGACGAATCTGTACCTCTGAGGCGTTCCACTAGAGTTAGGAGTGCACCTGAGCATTACTATGGTTTCCATATTACTGCAGAAGGTGAAACACTTATTAGTGATGGGACACTAGTAGGTCTGGATGACCCTAATAGCTACGAGGAAGCCATGGCAGGCCCCGAGTCTGCTAAATGGAAAGAGGCTATGGATAGCGAGATACAATCCATGTATGACAATCAAGTTTGGAACTTGGTGGAGAATGTACCAGGTCGTAAGACTGTAGGGTGCAAATGGATCTTCAAGAAGAAGACCGACATGGATGATAATGTACACACTTATGAGGCTCGACTGGTTGCAAAGGACTTCTCTCAAATTCCTGTAGTGGATTATGATGAGACCATTTCTCCAGTAGTCAAGATTAAGTCTATTAGGGTTATGTTAGCCATAGCTGCATTTCATGACTATGAAATTTGGCAAAATGGATGTCAAAACCGCTTTCCTTAATGGAAAGTTGGCTGAAGATGTTTACATGAGTCAGCCAGAAGGTTTTGTCAGCAACGAGTACCCTAATAGAGTGTGTAAGCTTGAGAAATCCATTTATGGATTGAAGCAAGCACCTTACAGATGGAATCTTTGCTTTGATGAAAAGGTCAAGGAATTTGGCTTTTCTAGGAGTGAAGATGAATCTTGTGTGTATGTCAAGGCTAGTGGGAGTATAGTTAGCTTTTTGATATTGTATGTGGATGACATACTACTCATAGGAAATGACATCCCAACTCTGCAGGAAGTTAAGTCCTGGCTTGGGAAGTGTTTCTCTATGAAGGACCTAGGAGAAGCTGCCTATATTCTAGGGATAAGGATCTTGAGAGATCGGAGTAAAAGACTAATTGGACTTAGTCAGAGTACCTACTTGGATAAGGTGCTGAAGAGATTCAGCATGCAGGACTCCAAGAAAGGAGAGTTACCCATCCAGAGTAACGCCAGATTGAGTAAGACACAAAGCCCTGACGCTGAGGCTGAGATAGCATAAATGAGTCGAATACCTTATGCTTCGGCTGTAGGGTCGATCATGTTTGCTATGACGTGTACTCGACCTAATGTAGCCTTTGCCCTGAGCATGGTTAGCAGGTAACAGGGGAATCATGGCAAGGCACACTGGACTGTAGTAAAGAATATCCACAAGTACCTAAGGAGGACTAAGGACTGGGTCCTTACCCTCGGTGGGAGTGATGACTTGAGAGTTGTAGGGTATAGTGATGCTAGCCTCCAGACTGATAGGGATAATTTCCGCTCTCAGTCGGGCTCGGTCTTTACCCTAAACGGAGGAGCAATTTCTTGGAAGAGTTCCAAGCAAGAGATAGTGGCTGATTCAACTTGTGAATCAGAGTATATTGCAGCTAGCGAGGCGGCATAGGAGGCGATATGGCTGAAGAACTTCATTGGAGATCTTGGAGTTGTACCAGCTATTAAAGAGCCGATGGAAATTTTCTGTGATAGTGAAAGTGTTGTTGCCTTAGCCAAGGAACTAAGGGATCACGGGAGATCCAGACACATCGACAGAAAATACCATTTTATCAGACATCGAATAGAAGAAGGACTCCTCGTGGCAAAGAGGGTATCATCGGATGAGAACCCAACAGATCCCCTCACGAAGGGATTGACTCGGGTTAAGCATCTCCAACATGCTCGGAGCATAGGGCTGAAGGATGATATTAGATTAATAGTTAGATAACCTTGAAATTTGTAAAGTGAAATTGACATTAGATGATGAATAAAAGGTGTTTTATTTATGAGTAAAGTGTTGCTATCTCTTGTCGATTGTTTCCTATATTTCTTTTCCATGTTTTGACTTCCAGAATAATTTTGTTTGGCATAACATATTATTCAAACCTCCACAGTCGGTCATATGTCGGAAGTAGGTATGAAAGAAGACTGTCATGATTGGTTGTAGAGGTCTACGGTGTTGGACAAGGCTACAACAATCATGAGTGCTCATAAGTCTGAGCATTGGACTCAACCCACGCTCACTGGAATCACTTCATGGAATTCTATCTCGAGTGATCGTGAGACGGTAATATCATATAATCCTTCAAACCTATAGATATGATTTGTTACTTACAAATTGGTTATGCATTGATTGTACGAAAACGCATTGGTAACTCGATGTTACAAAACGCGCTTTTGTGTATAATTCAAGGAGTGGTAGAACAAACATATGAGTCGAAGTTTATCTGTTCCTTCTTGGATTAGAAGCTGATATCTGGGCCCCTCGATGATTTTGTTTTGACCTATGTACTGGGCCCGGTCAGAACTAAGTTGATGTGTTCAATTAAGTTCTTTGTCAAACAAATCGGAAATCGGGAAACAAACTGTTGGACAATAAGTAAGACATTGTTCCATGTATTTTTCCGGCTGATATCTAGAACAGAGGATTATATGATCCCTTATCTTAAATGGTGTACCATCATCTTCTCAGTTCTGAGAAACCTTGAAAAGAGCTACGATTTCCGATCGGTTCCTGAAGTCATACTTGCAGTACTAGTTATTAGACTTATCCAAGTGGGAGACTGTTGGATAAGGTGTCTAAGTCCATAACTATTTCTAGTATGTACTTGACCCGACCCGACATGGTCCATTTGGGTTGCATGGCACAATGCAATTGGATAGACTAAATGAGAGAAATAACACTTGGAGATTATTAATATATTATAAGTTCTAATATATCAATAATATTATTTGATTAGTTTGATCAAGAATTAATTTAGAATTAATTAAGTGATCAAAAGATAACTAATTAAATATATGGGTTGATTATGTAAATCATCAATATCTTATATAGTGGGCTAAGAGGCTCCATGGATTTATCAAGTTGGGTTCCACCCATAGGATGCTCCATGGGAGTTACAAACCCATGGGTCATGGAAATGAAGAGTCATGACACATTAGGGTTTACATGGTGTAACCCTAGATGTGTCAACCCTATATAAGAATCCCATTCTCCACCAAAATCGGCTACACATATGAAACAAGAGGGCTAGGCCGATTTCAAGAAGTGTGTATTCTCTCAAAAGTATTTCCAAGAGCATTTGGTGTTGTGTGAAGCATTTGAGGCATCACACTTGGGGTGCTAGGCTCACAAGTTTTCAAGGAACATAAGCAACAACAAGGTAAGTTATTCTATCTTTCATTCAAGTTAAAAATTGTTCCCTATGTATGCTAGATAGGAATATAACCTTGGAATTCAACTTTGCATGATAATTAGACAAACGTAGATCCAAGGTTATTAGTGTTGCATGTACACTTAGGAAGTGTTAGAGTGCTCAAAACCCATCAAGATTAACTTACATTCGTGTTTGACTATAATGAAAAATTAGATTTTTAGCATTGATTTTTGGATCGTTACACATTATGCGAAACCGAAGCTTTCTCAATCTTTTCAAAACTTCTGAACAGAAAGTACTTTGGAGTGATTGGTAGATAAAGTTGAGAATCTGAAGTGTTTTCCAAGTCAAATGAAACAACTGGCTCCAAGCAGTAAACACTCGGATTCTCAATGGCTTCATTCAGAATCCACTCAATAGACCAAGGAGGGAAGTCGGCCTTCTGTGTTTCAAGGGCGACCTGTGCATCAAGAGCCTCCTTTTCATGAGCTTCACCTTCTTTAGCAACACACACAATTTCATCAAGCTCTATGTCACAAGTTTTTCTTTTAAGCGTTGCCCCTGCAGATATATCTTCTTCTTCTTCTTCTTCATCGTCATCCAGTTTTCTTTTTCTTTTCGATCCAGAAGCTTCATTACCCTTCTGATATTTTGTTTTCGGTTGTGTTTTGTTTTCATGCTCACTAGAATCACCAGCTGTTTTCTAGTGTTCTTCAGCAGATGCTTCTTAGCTTCTTCCCCTTGTTTCGAATGAGCATCCGATTAAGAAACACTTTAAATAAGATTAAGCATGGAGATGACTGGTTTGAGTTTTTCGGCCAGATATTGTCGTACCGAGACCATGAGCAATGAGTCACGAGTCTATATAGGGTTTTGCAAGAAAATATTTACAACTGCCACGCAGCTTTTGAGAATAGCCTTTTCAAAGTTAAGATCGGCAATCTGTTGGTTGGCATGAGACAGATTCACAGAAACGACTTTTGTTTTCTTGGTATTAAGAGCAAGCTTATCCATGATTTTGTTTTCAGTTGTCTGATCAGCTTGAAGCTTCTCAATTTTGGAGACTATCGAGGCATTCTTGTTGACATTATCAACTTTCAGGTTCGAACGAACTTTGGAAAGAGCCACTTTCTCGGTTTGAAGAGTGGTGCTAAGATTCGTAATCACCTTGTTTGCAGCTTATGTGTTCTTATCAAAGGAACTCCGAATATCCTCCTTAAATTGAGTAACATCAGCAAATAGTTTTTTTACTTTTTTAGTCATTTCATGAACTATTTTCTCAGAGTTCTTGACTGTGTTTGCAGATGTATTGAGGTTTTTGTCATGCTCTTTGGTATGAGTCTCAATTAATGGTTTGTGAGCTTCAAAATAATACTCTCTATTGGAAGAAGATTTGGAAGACTCGAGCATAGTATCCAACTTTTCAACGACGACCTTGAACTGCCCTTTTGTCATGGGTGCCCCATGATCATCACTCGACTGATGAACAGTGAAGGGACTGAAGTGCAAGTCTTGAAAAGCATACCGAGCATCACTAAAAATCGTATCAAGATCATCATCCCTTAAGGGTGAGATAAGGAAGGAACTTGAACCAATAGTATCACCAAAAGCACATATACCCATATCAGATATGTTGACAGGGAGCAATGGTGATTGGTGTAGACATTCATGTTCAAGAAGTAGTAGGAGAAGGTGGAGGAGAAGGAACATGAGAGAAATCATCTGTCAGTGGAATTGAAGTTGGAATTGGAATTGGAGATGATACATGCGTAGTAGACTGAGTAGGTATGGACTCTAAGACAATGTGTTCTGAGACCATAGGTTGCGAAGTCGTTTCCATATCTTCAATTTCTTTCTGAACTTGTTCAACCCTCTTAATCTTTGAAACAGTGTGAGAATGTGAATCCACTTGGGTGATAGGAGAAGGAGATAATTGTTTGTGAGTGACCTTCTTAATCTTCTTTTTCCGAGTTTGAGTTGGACCTGAAGGTCCATCTTTCTCTTTTCATTTTTCTCTGTTTTTGGGCTTGTTTCCATCTTCAAGTGCCCTTTGTAAATCTTGAGGCATAAGACGAGGACTTGAAGCAGGCTTCTTCTTATGCTCGTTGCTTAGCACAATGTCCGTCGGAACCTTGAGTAGCATAGCTTCCAGAATGGATCCCATTAAGTCAAATTTGGTAGGATCGGACACAAAAAAGTTGGATGTATGAAAGATTGGAATCACAGTCATCACAGAGCTATCTGTAACTTGAATCCAATGGAGAACAAGTGCATACTTAACGATGATGGACCAGAAGCGAGCGCAAGAAATTTCCATGTGCCTTGATGTCGAAAGTGTGTTTTAAACCAGTTGAGCTCAGAGGATTGAGACAAAATAAAGGCTAATCCCAGAATACAGATTATAGATTATTGTTCAAAAAAACTTGCTATCACAGTCTGAACCTGTAACTCGCTTTGAGAAGCTCTTAAACCGTAGAATGAAAATCCCATTCCACATAGGAGGAAGGTTAGGCTTCTTGAACTTCGATAGGAGAGAGATTTTATCCAAATACCCCATTTCGTGGAACATCTCCAAAATCACAGATGAAGAAATTGATTAGGGATTGATCAGACTGTATGATGAAGAGAACCCTAGCATTATGTTGAATCAAGCCTTGGAAATGGTGGTTTTGTTGAAATCAACCTCGAAAGTAATCATAGCATGGTAGCTTGCAGTGGAGAATGCCTTGTAAAGATGGACCAAGGGAACGTTCTCAGCCATTTTTAGGTCTTGAGCCAACAGAATGTAATGGAGGCACCCAATCATCAGTTTGAGAAATTCAACATACTTAAAGCAATCGAGATCCAGAATGAAGTTTTGGGTTGGTTTGATGTTCAGCATAACCGATGAAGTGGTCTATTCAATAATAAAAGGAGTTTCGGAGGAGTTATCCATGCAAACCGTTGGAGAAGATGATGAACAATTCAAAGAGAAAGAGGTTTTTTCACTTTATAGATTTTGACATATTTGAGAGTGGTGAAGGAAATCAGGCGTCGATTACCCATTTATAAGTCATGAGAGAGAGAGAGAGAGAGATAGAGAAATCTGGTTGTTGATGGTACTAATTCTTTGAAAAAGTTCCTAAAAATATGTGACAGCTAAATGCGTGTCAGACAGCGTAACTCACATGCGTGATGTCAGGAGCCTTTTGAAAATGGCACGTGCCCAAATTGAAATCCTATCTTTTAAACCACCATTTTAGTTATTCACATTCGTAAGTAAGCATCAATCTCCATAACCTGTTCTCGAAATGAAAGTAACCGTACGGTACTATGAAACCAGATTTTTGAAAAATCACGAGGATTTTTGTGGAAGATTGTGCCAAAGATAAAGAAATAAAACAAGTTATATCTGGGAATCAGTGATGTCAATTATAAATCAACATACAAACAGTTGGATCCCGGGAAACGATCTCTTCCTTCAGAGTCAAAAAACACTAAAAAGTGCTTGTGTAGCATCCCATTCAATTACAATCATCTGTTTGTTGAGAAACAATGAAGGCTTCTTTTCATTAGGCTTAAGGGAGGCTTCATCTCCAACCAAATTTCTGAAACTCAACATAAGTCTGAAATAATGGAAGAAGTACTTGTCTAACCAGTGTGGCCATAATAATTAGTATGATTTGGATTAATTGAATTGGCTGGATAATATAGAAATCTCAAGAGAAATAAAAATTGGATCTTTTGGGAATAAATGTCTTGGAGTACGAACATTTCATGAAGATCTCACAAAAATAAAAGTATTTAGATTCCAAGGTACAAATCATGAGGGTTGAATTTCATCAATTCCATGGTGAAAAATCTAGAACATGTTAATTGTTCACCGTCGATTCAGAAACTCATTTTGGATGTTTGGTTTCACTGAATTCGTGGTGATAACGAATTTAAGATCATAAACTCAAATGTTTTGTAACCATAAACCTCAAAGGTAATAACTGAGAGTCTCGAGGGTTACTTTTATGGAAGTGAAGATAATGGAGAAATATTTGAGATGGTTCTGAAGAGAAAAACGTACATCTACTATTAAAGAAAAAAAAGTAGTGAACTCTTAACTCAACTGTGAAGAGTCAGGTAGCTCAATGAGTTATGTGAATTTATGGCCTATTTGGGAAAAAATGATTGGTAATGTCAAATCATTAAGCCTTCAAACAAAGAGTCTCAGAGGCTTCGGTCAATATGCAACAACATGCTTCTAGGGACACTGAGCTAGTCCAAAGATTCGGAATTTTATACCTGCCCCATCATTTTGAATTGCACTAATAAGAAATTGTACCTAAATCAGAAACGTCTTCTCAAAGTAAAATAATAAAAAAAAATTTGTAATTTTCGATTTTTCTGAAAAGAATAAAACAGAAATAAAGAAAATATTTTTGTGTTTTTTTGGAGTTTTCTAAAAAAGAATAAAACACAATAATGAATTTTTTTTTGTGTTTTAGGAGTTTTCTAAAATTAAGAAAATATAACAAATTCTGAAACTTAAGGGAATAGTGGCTTTCGAATTGTTCCGAAGGCTCGAAAACAACCGGAGAACACATAATATACAAATGATACAGGATCTTCTGAATCGCTTGACGAACAGTGGATTCTGACTCATTTCGAGGGCTGGCAACAATTCGAAACATGAAGTATAAATTCCGAAGCATTCCGAGGGCTCAGAGTGGCTCGGAAAAAGAACACTACTTTAAGTTATTGTACTAATTTTAGAACATAATATGCTTCTGTCATTCCTAAGCCTTGTAGAATTCGATTAAAGGATGGTTCAGGTAAGGCATTATGTTAAGATATTAGCTAGTTGATCAGATGATCTTACAATGTGAATTTCAACATTGCCATCCTCCAAGTGATCCTTTATGAAATGATACCTCAATGCAATATGTTTCGTCTTGTAATGTTGCACTTGGTTGTGGCAAATGCGAATAACACTTTCTGAATCACAGTAAAAGGAGATCCTCTTCATATTTATTCTGTAATCTCGTTGCTGACTTTGAATCCATATCACTTGAGAAGTACATGAGGCAGCTACGATATACTTAGCTTCAGTAGTTGATGAAGAGATGCACATTTGCTTCTTTGATTGCCAACTTATGAGTTTTCCATCTAGAAACTAACATTCTACAGTTTTAATTTTTCAATCAAGACCGCATCCCTCAAGATCAGTATCAGAAAATGCTTGCACAAAGAATCTTGAGTTGGAGGCATACCAAATTCCAAAAAAGGTTGTTCGTTTTAGGTATCGGAAGATATTCTTTATGACCATCATTTGTGCTTCTCAAGGATTTGCTTGAAAACTGGCACAAAAGAAAATAGAAAACATGATATTTGGACGACTAGTTGTTAGGGACATTAAAGAACCAATCATTTGTCTATAAAGAGTCAAATCCGATGTTGGTTTGTCTAATGATGGCGTAAGTTTCGTTCTGAACGCCATTGGAGACCTTCGAATCTCCGACCGTTCAGAATTTCACAAGTAAGGACTTCGTGTAGGCTTCTTGGTTGAAAAAAATTTCCTCCAAACTCTATCTAATATTTAAACCAAGGAAAAAATTAATAAGACCCATTGAGCTCATCTCAAATTTAGTTTCCATCAATTTTCAGAATTCGGTTGTTAATCTAGGATTAGTAGATCCAAAAATGATATCATCAACATAAATTTGGACAATCATTAGATGGTCACCATCTTTCTTGCAAAATAAGGTTGGGTCGACCAAGCCTTGTTTAAACTTAGATTGTTTCAAGAAGCGAGTTAAGGTTTCATACCATGCACGAGGTGCTTGTTTTAAACCATACACAACCTTATCCAATATGTAGCAATGATTTAGATATTTCTCATTTTGCGAACCTTGGTGACTGATCCACGTAGACTGTCTCTTCCGATTCACCATTCAGAAATGCACACTTAAGGTCCATTTTATAGACATCAAAATTTTGTGTGTGCTACATAGGCAAGGAAAATACAAACATATTCTAGCCTTGCAACTGGTGAAAATGTTTCTTCATAGTCTATTCCTTCCTCTTGGCAGTACCCTTTTAACAACCAACTGTGGTTTGTTCCGAATGCCATTTCTTTCTTTTTCAAGCTTGTTTCAGAATACCCATTTTAATCCGACCACAGATGCATCCTTCGAAGTTGGAATCAATCTCCATACTTTGTTGCGTTTAAACTCATTATGCTCTTCTTACATTGCTTGCAACTAATCGGAATGATCAAGAGCAATCTTCACGGTTTTAGGATCAATTTTGGAGATGAAAGAATTAAACATGAATATTCCATTCAAAGTAATATAGTTTTATTCACTTTTTGTTAAGTTCTAGTGAGAACTCCAGAAGTTGCTGCTCTAATTACTTAAGAGTTCTGATGATCGTTGGTCCATTTTGCCAATGGAGAGAAGTTCGGATCGTAGGTTGGGTCTAGTTCTGCATTGACGTCTTCAAATTCCGATTGAACGTCCAAGTCATTATTTTCATTCTCATTCTCCCCCTAAAGGTTTGCATGTAACTCACTGTTTAGAATCAGATTTTCTTCCTGGATCGGAATGTCTTTGGTAACCTCGGGATTTGAATTCTCCCCCTGAACATGTAACATCCGGCTTTGTGGGTATGCTATTTTAAATATTTATTTTTGGGATTTTTGGAGCAACTCGATGAGTTGGTGCCTCAAATTGTCGAGTACGGTCGGGATCCTTTGTTGCTTTTCGTGATCAGACTCGGCGAGTCGGGTATCCGACTCGACGAGTTGGTACTCGCGAAGCAAACCCTAATTCCCTAGGTTTGGAGCCTATTTAAAGGCCTTTATGGGCTGCATTTGCTGCCACTACACTCTTAAGAAACCCTAGAGAGCATAGAGAGAGCTTGTAGAGCAAGAGGAGTGCTAATTCATCATTCTTTGGTGTGTTTTTGCAAAGGGAATGAATGATTTCGGGCTAGGCTGACTTGTGCTACTAAAATTTGATGAGGAGGTATGGATTCATGTCTATCTTCATTTGAGTAATAGATTTCCTAAATCTAGGGTTTCTTGTCTTCGTTTTTGGTAGAGATCTAGTGTTTGTGATGTCCTCTTATAACAATATTATCAGATTTGGACCTTGAGAGCTCCAGAGAGTCCCTATTCTTCAGCTTTATGCAATCCTTTATGAGTTTTGGGGCCTAGGTTATCATATTAAGGGTTATTTTGGCATATAGAGATGATAGTATGATGCATGGACCTAAAGTTTGAAGCTTTACGTAACTTTTGGGTTCTAGGAGGCCAGATCTATAGGTTGGTAAAGCAGATCTGACCTC